TCCGTCAGGCTCCGCATTTACATCCGCGGCTCCTCTCTCTGCCTTGCAGCGGGTTGAAATTAGACCGAAAGTTGCTGTAAAGACTTGCAAATGGACCGCACGGCAAAGGGGGGGGCTGGGGATGTCTGAAACATGCTGCGGTTCGGAGGGGGATTAGGCTGGCTCCCAAGGGCGAGCTTTAATTAAAGGTACCAGTAGGGCACAGAGTACAGGAATTCTTAGCATCCTCAGTTCTGGTCTAAAAGCTGCCCCTGTTTAACTTTATCCCCAGGCTTTTTCAGCAACCACCTTCCCTCTGGCAGTACTACTACATCCTTTATTTTTTTTTTTTTTTTAAAGGACCAGAAGCTGTCTTGTTAAGAATTAGATTTTTGGGGTTTTTTTGGTAAGTGAGTATTAGACAGCATTTTTCTACAGTATTGCATAACACCTGAAAGGGCAGAACAAATACGTACGTAACGGCTAGCTCCAGTAGATCTATTTTATGTACTGCATATATAAATACATATATTTTCAATTGATTTCTGTATAGGTGAGGACATAGTTGCAGCTTTATGCAACACAGTGCAAAAGACTTTATTTATCAGTGGGAGTTTTGCCATTAACTTCGTAGACGTCATGAGGGGAAACCCAGTGGTCTGTAAAAAACCATTGTGCTAAATCACCAGAAACTAGCTCAAAGTACCAGAAATGAGAAATTTTAGCTGGCTGGGTCCTGGGCTTCTCGTTTTGGTACTTGAATTTGATGGGGGACTTTGTATAAGCCAGACAGCAAAAATCATGCCTGTCCTTTGCTCCTGAGGAATGCAAAAGTATTAGACAGTTCTCAAGTGAAATAGCTTGACGTAAGCATAGTGGATTTGGCATTTACTTCTTGGATATCACTTTCATAACATAATACACCCAAGTTTTGGCCTAATTTCTGCAAAAAGTGGGCATGCTGTGGGTACAATAACTGTTGTCACATGTGTTTTTTGTTTTGAACTGATGATGTTGGCAAAATAACTCTTTCCCTCTCCACCCTACCCACCACCAGCTTCTATGAACAGTTCTTCAAATTAACTGTAATCAATGCTCATTTTAGCTGAAATCCAGCACTGCCTGGTTAATGCTGGCGATGTGGGATGTGGAGTGTTTGAATGCTTTGAAAACAATTCTTGCGAGATCCGAGGCTTACACGAGATCTGCATGACATTCCTGCACAACGCTGGAAAATTTGATGCCCAGGTAACAGTGAAATGTCCTACATATCTGCTTGCTTCCAATATACACGTGGCATGTATTTTAGTTCTTTAACACATCTTTGGGAAAAAAAGTTACCATTATGGAGCAAATCTACTTTTGCACACGACCAGCTTCAATAAGAATTTTTCTGTTGAAGGGCCCAGAATCAAGACCCAAGAATAACAGAGCAGTGGTGTGCAACCTGTACCAGGAGACAGGCTGTCTCTAGCTACAGCTCTCTCTGATCGCTTCCTCCTCAGAAAGTCAGAACGCTAATGTAGCTGAACATGGTTTTCAGAAACACTAAGCGCCTTAAGCTTCTACACCATGTTTGTTCAAAGCTGATTCTGAAATGCAACTTGGGCACCCAGTTCGTTTAGACATATCAAAATATTTTCCACTGTGCAGTTATTTAAAGCTGGTTCTCAAGACTTGCACACAACAGTACAGGCAGCCTCCTAAAGCTGCTGTATTCAAATAAGTCTTTGGTTCAAGCACTGCTGTTAAAATACATTACTTACATGGTATGCGGTATTAAGTTTGTCTCCTTCATTTTCTCCCCAGACCATTTATGCATCATTGAGACATCCTGTTACTATGTCTTGTAAACCTATTCTCCCATTTCAGTGTGGAGGGAAGAGAACATTACGACGGGCCAGCAGCATTTGGCTTGACCGTGCAGTTTACAGTATAACTTGACTAAAAGCACCAGCCTCGTGGCACTGTTAAAAACATGGTATAAAGTAGAGCTGTTTTCAGGATCTGGCCCATTCCATGAGGGATGGTGGGACCACCCAGTAGGAAACACTTTAGAAGTGCTGGAGTTTTAGGCTCAAATTCTCAAGGACATACAAAGGGTCTGGCTAGCCATTAAAATGGGAATTGTTTCTTCTGTGGGTACCTGAAAACCTTCAACTTAATTTCTAAGTGGCTTCCAGAAAACACTCGTTTATTTTTGCACAATATTCTGTCAGTGAATAAAGTTGACCAAAGAAGTAAGCCCTGATGGAAGGGGAGGGAAATGTGCGCACGAAGGCTGAGCGTAGCCATTGATGCCTACTCCCCAGATATTGCCAATCAAATACAGCCAATTTCACATCCAGGCTGTCTCCATTGCAGTGCAGGAGTATTAAGCCCCTGGAGCTTTATTTAATATAGAGGTGACTTTAGCCTCTGCTATGACATGGCTTTTCATGGCTCATCCCTGTATTATCTACAGTTATTTCAGGCTGCATTAAATGACAAGACTAACATTGGCCATTTTCTGTTCTCTGCTTTCTGCTCTCCTTCCCTCTCTCTGAAACCTAAGAATTGATGTCAGGTTTGGTTTGCATAAGAATTTTCTTTTTTATCCTTACTTGCCTAATGTGCTGTGCATGTTTGTTACTGAAGGGAAGGGCAAGTAAGTGCCTTTGGTATAGGGAATAGAAGGGGATGATGACTGAAGCAATTCTTTGATCAGCAAGAAACACTTCTGGCTTGAAACAATTTGGGGACAAAATCTGCTTGTAGGTCTGGGTGGATCTTAGTTAATGTCAGTGGAGCTGTGCCAGTGTACTCTTTGGATAAAGGTTAACAAGAATTTGGTCTTCATGAAGCACTTGTGTAAAATAATCTGAAGCTAATGAAGAGATGGAGGCAGTGCAGGACGCTTCCACACACCTATTGCTCAGCAAAGTAAAGGGAGTCAGAGCAGAGCTGTCAGACTGCAACACACGCACTGTGTATGGCGGCTATAGTATCAGATAGCAAAGAGAGAAAAGGAAGGGATGGTTTTGATGCCCACTAAGCAATTGAATGAAGGAATCGCAAACAGTGGTTAAAGACATGCTGCTAAAGCAGCTTTCCTGCAACTTACTTTTTTAGTTTCTTGATTTGATTTTTTTTTTTAATCTCACTTTGAATTTCTTGTTGCAAACAGACATTGAGACACTGTAGGATTATTATTAGCGCTGATTTGAGTCCCTCTCTGAGGAAGTGGTAGTAGAGGAAAATACTGACAGATGGGGAATGGGGCAGGTGCATATAGACAGTGCATGCATGTCTATGAGTTTGCAAACTAATTTCAAAATTTAAAAAACCTAATTTGCAGTTACTGAATGGGTATCTGCTTGTGGTCCTGGGGACCTCAGCCATGGCAGGATGCCCTCTCCTTTGTGTGAACCTGCTGTGCTGACACCCCAGAAGCGAACAAAGCCAGTAACTCAAGCATTGAATTATTTCAAGGTGCTTGCTTTTGCCCTTTCCCTTGTTGGGCATTCAGCTGTTGGGGTAGAGGAAACCTCAAAATACCAGTGAGGAAGCCCTGTGTGTTCAGCTCCACTGGAATAGCAAGGCCAGGTACCTTGGCATAATCTTTAAGGGCAGAGAAACAAAGAGAAGAGGGGGGGAAAAGCCATTAAGTGGTACCCTTAGCAATCTAATAACCCTTGACGTTGTCCTACAGAGGAGCAGCTAGCTGGGCATAAATCAGCTGCTGTGCTTAATGGACAAAAATACAGACCTACTCCATTTCTTTTCTTCTCAGGGAAAATCCTTCATTAAAGACGCTCTGAAGTGTAAGGCTCATGCCTTGAGACATAAATTCAGCTGCATCAGCCGTAAGTGCCCTGCCATTAAAGAGATGGTGTTCCAGTTACAGCGGGAGTGCTACCTGAAGCATGACCTCTGCTCCGCTGCCAAGGAGAACGTTCAGGTCATTGTGGAGATGATTCACTTCAAAGACCTGCTGCAGCATGAGTAAGTGCCTCCATGCTAGTGCAGTCAGAGGCGTGGGAGCTCCTTCCAGGAGCACGATGGTGCCAATGGGCTGTGCATCTGCCCAAGAGCTGTTTCACCTCCTTCTGGCCTTATGCACGTCTTGTTTTCCCATGTACAAGACCAAGGTAATGCTTTCTTCGCAGGGGCCCTTGAAGACTGGTTTGTTTACAAAGGGCTACATGTGACTGTGGACAGGAATGAAATGGGTTGAAGTTGGATCTGGTTGCCTCTTTGGTCCTTTAGCAAATACAATGTCAGTGTCTGCTGTTTCCAGAGGCATCTCACAATGTCTGTGTGCTTTCTGAGCTCAAAGGCACCGTTCCTGACCCCAGTATCTTGTTAAAGATGACAGCTAGAGAAGAAGGGGGAAGAAAGTCTGTGCAAAGTTGTCAGTAAGATGATAATTTCTTCTTTAAATACATACTTTCAAATATCTTGTAGTTAATTGTCCCTGAAAGAGCTGCAGTCCCCCAGGTAATCTCCCATTCATCTTATTCCTTATTAATCTCAGATGCTTTTTAATAAAACATGGAGGAGTAAAAAATGAAGGCACAAGTCAGATTTTGAGGAGTTCACCCCTCTGGCTGGGAACACAGCTGCCCTCTGAGGAATGGCAGGCACGAATCCTATTTGGAATTGATCAAAGCTGCTACATGACAGCAACAAACCAGGCACAAGCTGTTTGTACCAACTCTTTATGCACAGATGCAAAAATTGGAGCCTGTTTTTCTTGCAGGTGAACATCTCACTCCCAAACAAGCGGGCTGAGCCACAGCCTGGCAGCAGGCTTACCTTAGAGCATCTTCCTACCACCCGTCTATGCCTTCTTATCCCTAGCGGATATCAGCACAGAAACCCCAAATCACAGCGATCATGACAGATACTTTTTTTTTCTCCAGAATCATTTCTTCTGGACTTTTAGCCTTGCATTTTCATCAGTCTCTGTGCCTCGATTCCCTTACTTTCTGTTGAAAACCACCCCCCTAATCCTTAAGCTGCAGTTGCAGAGGGATGCTTTGATGCCAGTTTACTCTCAAATGCAGAATCGTTTGCTGTGGTTTGTACGAGCTGAACGTGGTGGCCTGAAAGCAAGGCCCTTACCGTGGACGTTCCTGAGGCTGGGATCAAAGGCATGGCTGGTGGCAGATCTCGGCCTTGGCAGGGCTGCTGGCTGTGCCCAGGGCGGGCTGGGATCAAAGGCATGGCTGGTGGCAGGGCTGCTGGCTGTGCCCAGGGCAAAGGGCAGCATCCCGCTGCCTGGGGGAGAGGGGAATCGAGGCTCTGTCCTGCACAGCAGCACCGCTCTGTGGGCACTGCTCAGGCTGTGTTAGTAGGCTATAAATTGGGTACTTGGTACCAGTTAACCCCCCATCATTTGGAGATGAGAAGAACTATGAAAGTCAAAGGCCTGTCCAAAGAGAAGTAAGTTATCTTGTTTTACAAACAGGCTAAAGCAGGAATGCCTAAAGGCAGCTGCTTATTTCTGGGGAGCTTGACTGGGGGGTTCTCTGAGAAGAGATGGATCATTCAGCTGAACACCCATAATTTGCACGATCTCATTTAAAGCTTCCTACACTTCATTTTCAGCATCTCGTGGAGCTGGAGCTTAGCTTTCCTATGCAGGACTCCCCAAATAGAAGCCAGCCAGCCTCCTCCCCTCCCCTAAATTTAGAGGCCATCCCTGAAGCTTTTGAACTACGGAACTTGTTCAAGATCAATAGGCAAGTGTGGCAGAGCTGGAAATAAAATCACGTCTGCTGACTTGCAGCCTTGTGCTCAGTTCAGGTACTATGGTCAGGCCAGCTGAAATGCAGAAAGTAAAACAGTGAAGGAGAAATGGGCCAGTATTAATCCGCAGGGCTCTGGCAGACTCTGAATACCTGAAATATTTGGAAGCTGAGCCACTTTTTAGTCATACCAGCAACGTTCTTCTTACAAAGACTTTTGTAAAGGTTATGCCCAATTTCAACAACTGATTTATCTTTTTCCCCCCCTCCCCCTCCCTCCTTCTGCTGGATCACTTTGTATGTGATGTGCTCAGTTCTCTCTCATCTTCTATTTCACGTTTAAAACAAAAACTAAGAGCAGAGAAGCAAGTGGCTGTTCTCAGACTTGTTCTCTGACTATTTTATTCTGACTGTTTTCTCCCGATGAGTGTTGAGGAACGCGATCGGGGCGGTGAAGTCTCCCCCTGAGTCAGCTGCGGTGGGGTGGGGGGTCAGGCCGATTTGCTATGGTGGAGGTGGTGACAGGCCCTGGCAGATCGGTCACTGCTGCATTCCAAGTAATTTTTTTTAAACGGCAGAAACAATCCAAACATGGGAAATATTTTGAGACAGGGGAATAGGTGGCTCTCCAAGATTAGTCATTCAAAATGAGTTAAAGCAGTTGGGCAAAGTAGAATCAGGGTAGTGTCGGACACTGATCATAATCTGTTGGTTTTCCTCGTCTCTTCTGAGTTAGTTCATGGGAAGAGATTTAGGCTTGTCCACAGCCACCAGAGCTGGTGGATGGTGTGCCCAGATGGTGCACCCCCACCACCCCATACAACCACAACTGCTGACCCCAGGCAGTTCTCCACTTGCACTGTGGATGGTTCCTACCGTGGAAGACTTTTAAGCACGTCCTTCTGGGCCTGCTAGCAGCTGAGCGGTTGTGTCAATAGACAACATCAATATTGACCCACAAAACTTGTGACCGCAACTATTTTAAAATCGCTGCACTCGGTGACCTGTGGCTGAGGAAGCCAAAGTGCCTGCGCTCGGGCTGTGTTGTGCTGTGGAGGCACAGAGGGATGGGTGGGAAGCAGAAATGGGGTTTGGCCATGGCTCATTTGGAGTCTTTGTTTGGCTGGGAAAAGGTATATACTGAAAGCTGTCCTCAACTCTGTAAAGAAATGAAGAAAAAAAAAAAACTCGGTGTGGAAAGAAACAGTGTCACCAAAGTGGATTTCCATGTGTCTGAGCTCTGTGCAGTTGGATCCTGAATCCAGATAAGATCTTGCTTGTGGTGGAGATCAACACCTGGTGCTTCAGGGAAAGCTAAAGATGATGAGAAGAGCCAGAGAACCTCTAGTTAAGTATCTGTTGCTCTTCGCAGAGGGGAGGAAATGCCTCCCTCTCGCAGACACTAGTCTGTGTATGCTCTGTACCAGCCGTTTACCTGGAGATAGCAAGCTGTTTGATGAAGTCGATGGCTCTGGACGTGAGCAGGTTTCCTTTGCCGCATATCCTGACTAATAAAGATGAAGGGGCATGGAAAGAGATAGAGGCAGAAGGTGTAAGATAGCAGTTCTTCCATTTGACAGCCCCATTTGCCAAGCGTGTAGACCTCATATATTCCTCTGGTGGACATTATAGTTCTCCCAGAGCATCTCCGGTGGGGGAACAATCAAGGTAGATCCAGCACCTGAGTGAAGCTTCGTTTGACAGGATGCCATCACGTGCATTTCTTATGGTGATACGGCCGATTAGAATATACTATATTGCATAATAAACATAAGGTGCAGAATGGCTCTACAAGGCTGCCGAGTCAGTGAGCAGCAGGGCGCTAACGCTACTGAACTGTGCTGTGCACAAGGGAGGGTAAGGTGGAGAGGCCATTACACTTGTTTACTGATAGATAACCCTTGTATATTTTTTGACTCTCCTCTCACTGTTTCCTTTACCTCTAGGCCGTATGTTGACCTCGTGAATATCCTGCTCACCTGTGGCGAGGAGGTGAAAAGGGCAATAACGAGAAGCGTCCAGGCCCAGTGCGAACAGAACTGGGGAAGTCTCTGCTCCATCCTAAGCTTCTGCACCTCGGCTGTGCATGGTGATGCCATCCTGGGTCCTGAGAAGAAGCCAGGTGAAGCCGGCAAAGCCGCTGCTGGCCGCGGGGACATACTGGCCCACTCCGACTCCGACCACAGGGAGAGCTCGCGAGCATCTAAGGGAGAGAGAGGTACTAAGGGCCACTTGAACGCCCATGCCCGGGTGAAAGCTGGGGGCCATGGTCCCAAAGGGGCACATGGGATCATGGACCGGGCAGATGAACTGTCCGACTTCTCTGACATCCGGAGGTGAAAAAAGGCACCAACTCCCCGTTCCCCCCATCCTCCCCCTCCACTGGAAATCTCCTCCGTTGAGTCCCATCTTCCCGTCTATGGACATTCCAAAGCATTTCCCATTCAGAGGTCAAGCACAGGGCATTGCAAGATATATATGGACCTCAGCAACAGTGTATATAGTAGCAAAGGGAGAGCAGTGGCAATGGGTTATTGATCCAGCAAACTCGACACTTGAGCAGCCACCAAACGTGGCAAAATGTCTCTGACTAAATTCTTTTCCCCTTTTTTATGAAAAGGACATCAGCTGAAATTTAGGATCTTGTTTGGGGGTTGTTGGGTTGTTTTGGGGGGTTGTTTTTTTTCTTGGTCCCCTTGGCTGGGGAGAAGGTTCCAAGAGGGCTTTGCCAGATTGCATGTGGCTGCTTGTGGCTTAGCACCTCTGAAGGTTTAGGGCGCAGCCTTAGAGCAGATGGCTGAATTCCAGGGGGATTTGGTTTCTGCTTGTGGCTGAGAACGCAAGAGCTCAAGGCTGTCTATGTGACACTCTCTAATGAAATAGCTACCCTGCCTCTCACACGGGAACTGTGCGGTCTGGAGCTCCACCGCTTTCTCTTAACTAACTTCTGAGCCATTGTTCCCATCTGGGTGATGCTGCCTAGTTTAAGTGCCCCCTGTTTGTTTTTTAACCACTGCATAACTTGACACTTGTTAATCCAGTCACTTCAGCGTATCGAAGGCAAGCAGTCAGCTTCCAGACAAGGCAATGTGACTGTTAAGACTTGCACAGTATGGAGGACCCCCAGGAGTATACTCGTGGACCTCTAAAAACCCTGTGCATATTCTCTGCTTACACCTGCCCACTCAGTGATACAGGTCCTCCACCCTTATGGACAGCCCAAGCTTAAAAGGATGGGCGTAGGCTCAGACAGCGAAGGACCCCATATACTTAGTCCTTCCGTAGGGCCGCATTGAAGGCCCATCAGAAATCTGTCTCTCCTTAGCAGTAGCATGGTGTGGTTTGCTGGGATGTGGAGCCCCACTCTAACCTGCCTATCAGCTGTGGTTTATCCAAATGCCAAAGATAAGGAGAGAGGATTGACTTGGGGTTTTTTAATTGTCATGCAGATAATGACCACCAATCTCTGCAGAATGAGTTACTAAAGATGAAGAGTGTCAAGAGCTTATTGTCTCTAAGCAGTTTTAAGTGTGAATGAGGTGTTTGGACACATCTCTCCTACCCCCTATGCAATTGTAATTCTCAGGTTGCAGATCTGCAATCCTATATCCCCAGATATTGTACTGGAAATGGAGGTTACAGCATCTACGGGGACAGAAGGGTGAGCTCTTCAGCTTCCTCTGGAGAAAAAGCAAGTTTTCTTAGAAAGTGGGAATCACACCAGGAATTTGAGCCTTCTCATTTAGAAAGTTTGGGAGGAAAGCTGTGGGGGCAGGAAGGCAGTTCAGTAGAGACAGAACGTACCCAGTGAACTAACGTACGTCTTGTCGCATGGTGGGAAGGAGCTGTATAAACAGTAGAGGGTGTTGGAATTTGGCTACAATTTCCAACTCAGATTTTAGTTACTGCTAAGTGAACACAGCTCCTAATAGCTATATTCAGGGTTTAATGCATGTATCCACCCGCAGAAGTTATAGGCATTGCTTTTAATAGAAGCCACGTAGGAAGCAAGAGAGGACCATTAAGTTGAAAAGGTGTGTCTCTCTGATCACCAGGTCTTTGTTTAAAGACATGACCTTGATCCTGCCTGATTTTAGCTAAGTTCTGTGACAAAACTTTCATTCGACTTAATTGGAAAGAGGTGGGATCGGGCCAGGTACTGTAGCGGCAAAGACCATGCTGACCTGAGGAGCGGAGCTCCTGGCAGTGAGAGTTCCAGCTGCCCCGTTGGGTTGTAGCACAGCTCTCCCACGGATGGGGCACCCAGGCTGTCCCATGGAGGAGCTTCCCAAGGTTGGTTCGGGCCTGCCTCTGATGACCAACTCCTCTGCTCCAAAAACTAAGTGGCTGCTGGTGGTACCATAAGGAGGTTTCTAGCATGCCTCCATGGGTTTCCTGTAAGCGTCCTCTCCCCCTTGGTGGCATATAGCCACCATGAAGAACAAGCTCAAACCAAAAAGACAATCCAAGCGTTTTAGCAAAAAAAAAAAAAAGAAAACACATGCAGAACAGAAACAACAACTCGGTACCAACATAATGTTCTTGCATTGAACTAAATAAGATCCCTCTCTCATTAGAGGTCTGATTCATCAAAGGGAACCAAACATATAGATTTACATCCTTGAATGTCTCAGTCAACATATCACCTCAGCATGCATACAGTTTTATTTGTATTCATTCGTTCTGTGGGGATAACTGTATATGCCCCTTGTTTAGTCAATGAAAATTTGGGGGGGGGGGGGGGTAGAGCAAGCTGTGGGTGGGAGGGATTTTTGTATAAGGCATAACTTTTTTTCCTCTGTGTGTGAAGATTTTATGTGTTCATCTACTGATTCCACATATGCTATTATTGTAAATATTTAACATTTCTATTTATTATAGTGTCTCCATTTAAAAAAGAACACTGCTGGCTATGATAATTTAAATGTACGTTACGACCTGTGTTGTATATATTCATGCCACTAGTATGGTTTTTTTATGTTTAAAGCTGCGTAAATATAGTTTTATACAGTTCCATAATGTTATTGACAGCATAAATCACTTATTTATTGTTAAACCTTCTTTCATATCTAACAAATAGGGTGCGTTTTACCTGAGATTATTTTATTGTGACATCTACATAGCCTTAATTCTTTATAAAAAAGAAAAAAAAAGTCCATTTAGATACTGTATGATGCTTCAATTAACATTCCTTATGAACTTGCTGTTCATGAAGGAGGTTTAGCTTAAAAGCCAAGGTATGAATGTTTCCTTTACGCTTTGCATCTGGAATGAGCCTTGTTCTGGGATGAAAATACTGGGAGAAGCAAAATGCCTACTGGAAAAAGGTAGCAGTAAACCCTGGAAAATGCTGTCCTAACTTAAAGTGCTGAACTGAAAGGAAAAAAAGAAAAGGGAAAAAAAAAAAAAAAAGACAAACTGTCCTTAATTCCAAATCTCTGGGAGAAAAACATACTAGGTTTATCTCATGTAGAATTTGCAGCCAAATAAGCTTGTAAAAAAGAAAATGCATATGGCTTTAGACAAAGCTCTGTACCTTTCACACTATTATTTTCCTTAAACACTAATAAATGTTTTGAGTAAGTCTGTGGCTGGGTTTGTCTAGCTGGAATTTCAGCTGCTGCAATAAGGGGTAAGAAAAGCCCTCTGAAGCAGGGCCAGCAGCTTCAGCCGAGGGGGGCAGAGGTAATCGGTCTGCTCGTCCCTTATGCCAGCCCGGCAGCGGCAGAGGTGCCCTGGCTGGGGTAGGACGTGGGGACAGAGCCAACCCTTCCTCTCTGTCTACCGGGGAGAGCCAGCGCAGGGGCAGAGACCTCGTCACTGGTGTGTCATTCCCCCGGGGGAGGGAGAATTGTTGGCTGCTTAGCTGTGACCTGGCAGCTTGGTTTGAGGGCAGAAAGGGAGACACAGAACAAACTAGAGGATGAACAACACAGGGAGCAGAAGCTCCTGTCCTTCCCAGGCTCAGACAAAGCCTCTTAATTTTGGGAGGTTTTTTCCTTAGCAGGATCTGGGGATTGGGTTCACTGCAGTGTGTCGCAGCTACCTCATCTGCTTTAAATTAGTCTGTATTCAGGTTAGGAAGGGAGTAAGGGGATGTAGGTGCTTACGGGTTTCCTCTTCTCGCTGCCCTGATGATCTTGGTTTAGAAAATTCCCTTAGGAGATGGCAGTGGCATCATGCTGTGCTCAACCAGGTTGGCTATAGGTGCAACTCGGCATCCCATAAGGGCTGGGACAGGGGATCTTGGCTGAGCTCAGCACCCGCCTGTGGGCAAGGCATCAGCAGCCCCCAGCATGGGGCCAAAGCCCTAAGCGCTGGATTTCAGCCAGACCCATTAACAAATACAACAGCAACACTTTCTGAAAGCTGTAATAGCTGACAAGATTTGTCCTGCATGTATAAAAAACCCAGTCAGGTCATGTAATATCAAGAGTTACCCCTTCAAAGTTTTACCTTAAAAACAGAGGACATCCATTTGGCTCTCCACTGTCCACTATTAAATAATCTATCAATAAGTACTAGCCGGTGGCTCTGTACAGGAATGTAACAGGCACGTACAGTAGCTGTAATTCTCTCTTGGATCACTCCATCACCATCCCAGCAATGATGAGGTATCAAAATCTTAAATGCTTACTGGAATTGCAGCAAAGGAGAAAAGCAAAATCCTAAGATTTACAAAAAGCAAGCTGCAGAAACAGCACTTTGTGTTGTCTCCGAAGTAATTTTCATACAGTGTCAGGGTGTAGGCAGCAAGGGGATGGGGAAATTATGAGAAAGCACCTCAGAACATAAAACACGGATTTTTTTTTTTAAGGCTGCTTGCATGAAAAAGCACATTTTTAACACTCCTTCTGTGGGGTTTAAAAATAACTAATCCAGTTGAAGCCTTTGGATGAGATGGGCTTCACAAGCCTAAATGTGATTTGCGGCAATCTAGGACCTGTAGCGTTTCTTTTCCGTTAGGTGCAACAGCTCTCTATAATCCTGCCATGGGCTGTCATCAAACACCAACAGGAAAGTCCATTTTGCCAGCAGAGATGTGACAGTTTGGTGGGATGTGATCTCAGACCAATCTGCAGTCAGGCTACAGCCAAGGAATAGCTTCTGCTGGTGTCAGACCACTCGTTGGCATTAAAGATCCCACTGCATTTTTTTGCAGGAGCTGGTCCACACAGTGGCTGTGACGCAGCTAAGGTAACTGCATTCTGCCCCCTACCATCCTCCTTGCAATTTCAACTAGAAAAGTTATTTTTCATCTCCTGATGCGTAAAGTGGTGAGACTGCATTCTGCTCCAAAAAGTGGCTAGACGTCAGTGATGGAGAAGTGAACCTTACCTTCCCTTAGGGCATCACATCTCACAAAATAGCACAGTAAGTAACAGAATGCTGACATTAAAAAGTACAGAAGCACAGAGAGAAAAAGAAGCCCTAAAACAAGACTGCAGAGCAGGGATTCTGCTTTGCACAACTCTTGAGAAGTGTATAACTTAAAATATGTTTAATACAAGCATACAAGTCTGCTTCAAGTGATCTTGATTGGAGTGATCTTAGTTCAATTTGGTCTCAGTCACTTTACAAGTGAGATAAGGAAAACCAAATCAAGGCAATTCAAATTGCAAATGCACGTCCATACGCAGATCTCATCCAATTGAACAAATCCCACCAAGATTCATACATGTGGTCCATTTGGATTTATTCTCCTATGGGCTCCCTGTCTAGCCTCCCAAAAGAACAAAATTAGTTCCAGATATTGGCTTGCTCAGGCATACCAAAACATTTACAAATGTATGTGGCAATTTACATATGTCAGCCCACGTAGTGAGCTGAGTCAAACCTACTGCCAGTGCTTCTGTGTTCATCTTTACTGGTTCCTAGGTACTGCCCTTCACTCTCCTCCCTGAGCCCACGCCTGGAGATGCCAGGAGAGCCAAGGCAGCTCCAGAGCAGCTCTCTGCTGCGTCACGCCTGATGAATTCATCGCAGTGATCTTTCCAAGTGAGGGAATAGTTAAAGCTTGCTGGGAAGCCTCTCAGCAGTGCATTTTTAAAGCTATTTCCTGACACCTCACCAGAAACACAAATCCCACTCAGTTTTCACTGCTAGTTATGTTCATGTTTCCATGCTCTCCTTGCAGACTCTCGCAGGAAAGGCTTCTCTCACACCTGCTAAAGTCAGAAATCGCTGCATGCTTCCCCAGCGACAAATACAGCAGATCTCAAGCCTTGAGCAACGCCGAGCAGCCTGCACCTCCCAGACCCATCACAGTCACCTGCCCTGTGACCAACCAAAATTGAATCGTGGCGAGGGGATGCAAGGGGGTGCAGCTGGACCTCCCCGGAGGCAGGAGCTCCACTGATGCCTCGCAAGGTCCCTCCCAGTCTGTTCCTGCGGTCCCAGCACTAACAGGTCCTGGCACAGGGTCGGGGCTAAGCATAACCATATAATTAGTGAAATCCTAACAATTTTTGTTTCTGTACATTTTCTTTAGGGAAAAACATCCCAGCCAGTGGAGCATTTCATTTTGAAATCAAAACCTCATGTCTTTCTTGATCGGGAATGTAAAATGGGGACTTGAGGGTTTAAAGACATGACAAATTATGGGAAGCTGCAGGGGCTGAGAATTCCTATCTCCGAGGATGCCGACTGTTATAGCCTTGACCTTTTCTGCAAATACCATCCTCCCTTATAAAAATGTGGCTTGGAGTTTATTTAGAAATTCTTTTAAAATAAGAAGCCGCCTTTGGAGAGTCTGCTGTGAGGTTCTCCACATAGATGGGGATATAACTTTTTTTAAGGGTATTCCTCCGCTGCTGGAAAGTAGTGCCCTAGGGGCAGTGCCACTGCAGCGAGCATGCTGGACCACGCTGCCGTGCATCTCGGTGGCTCTGATGACACTGCAGAGATCAGGTCTGACACGTGGTTCCGAACAGGAACCTCAAATAGGGTTGAAATTGAGCCTAGTTCGGCTTACATGGCACAAGAACAAAATGCCGCCGTGGCACAGACAGCGCCAGCTTCCCTGGTGTCATTGGAAACACAAGCTAATGGAAAGGCTACAACCAGGCTGCATTTTAACACAGCACAGGATCAGCCCTCCGCTATCTAAGACATTATGGCACGTAATCCCCTCTATAAACCCCAGTTCCATTTCTCAAATTTTCTGCAGTTTGTATCTGCTTTTCTCTATCCCACCATCAACACCGGGCTACATTTGTCACCCATGAATAATCCCACTTACATTGCAGAGTCTCTTCCTACCCTGGAGAAAAATGCAGTGGGAGGTGTGGGGAAGCTCAGTGAAAGCTGACAGCCAGGAGAGACTGGGAAAGGCCTACAGAGCGCCTTATTTAGATGTCCTATTTTAAGATAAAATGAAGAGGAACTATGCACATTCAGCATTTTGTTAAACTGACGTGAAATCAAGCCACTACGAAATCAGTTTGCAGAGGGGTGTGGTGCACGTGCTTGAAGCCTTCTTGAAAATATTATTATTTATAAT